GCCGCTCTGCTGGGAGCTCCCAGGCTAGCAGAAGAGAGAGTGAGCCTCACAGAGTAGTGCCACCCCCCGCCGGCGCCCATTCACTTTATGGCAGCCCAGGGCGCCCCCAGCCCGCCGCGGCTTGCTGCGCGCCCTAGGCCCCGCCCCTTTCCAGCTGCAACGCCCAGGCTCCTCCCTTTCCAGCTGTGAACCTTCAGGCCCCGCCTTAGTGGGGAGGGGTCCTGCCGGCGGGCAGCCAAGAACCCCGCCCTCTGACCAATCAAAAGCGTCCGCCAGCAGCAGAGTAACGCCCCCTCCCCACGTGGCTGGGACCGCGCTCCAGCAGGGACGCTCCGGGTGAGCTAAGCCTGCCAAAGTAAGGTGGTCGGCATTGCGGCCCGAGTCCAGCCCAGATGGTGGCGAATTGAGGACTTGGGCTCTACTCGGAGCTACGTGAAGCAGTGCCTTGGGAGAGGACTGCAGGAGCGCCGGGTGCCGCCGAGTCTCAGCGCTCACACTTTGCTGTCGCTTGTTTCGCCGATTTTCTCCACTTGTCGCTGTCTGTCTTTCCACTCTTTGTCTCTGTTCCAGTTCTCGCACGTCTCTCCTCTTCCTTCTGACCGCCGCTTTGCTCCCTGCTCTGCCACTTTGAAAGGGTGATTTCTCTTTCCAAGACCATCCCACCCCCTTTTTTCCCATCATATCTTTTTCTTCCCAGCTATCTCTAATTTTTTCCTCCCCTAACAAGGATAACATGGAGAAAGGGGTTGGAACGAGAAAAATCAAAGTGGTGTACAGCACTTTCCCTCACTCAGTGACCTTGGACAAGTAACAACGGTGCCAGCTCCCACCCTGGCCAAAATAAAAGGAAGCTTCCAGTGGCTCTCTGGCCCTTAGGCTGTGTACTCTTCAAAGACGAGAGCGCTTGGCCGCTCACTCTGCACTACCAGTTTGCCTGGGCTGCGCTCTGCCAGCTTCAGCGATTCTGTTCCCCGCCACACACCATATTCAGTCCTGTGGGTAAAGGGTAGCCTTCGCGCGTTTTGCTTAGGTATTTGCAAGGGACAAGACAGATGTTCAAGGGATATGATAGGCTGGGTTATTTGGTGCCCCTGAGATACTAAGCCCTTTGCACAATATACTCCTAAAATGACCCTGAGCATACATACTGATGCTTAAAACAAGCCAGTTATCTTTATTGCCTTCAGGAGAAAGGACAAGCTTTTAAGGGTGGAATTCTAGACCTTCAGGACCAGAACTCCCCTATCTCCCTGTTGATAAGGTCTTGCCTCTATAGCTCTGTGGTTTTTACTGGTCCTAAACTTTTAACTGTTATCCTATCTCTGCCTGTACTGAATGCAGTGTTTGCAGGTGTGAGACATGAACTTTTAGTCGTCAGTTTAGTTTGTACTGAACACTTTTTTTTTTTTTTGAGACAGGGCTTCTCTGTATTCTCTGTAGCTTTGGAGCCTGTCCTGGAACTAGCTCTTGTAGACCACCAGGCTGGCCTCAAACTCACAGAGATCCACTTGCCTCTGCCTCCTGAGTGCTGGGATTAAAGGCGTGTGCCATCAGCAGCCACCATACTGACTTCTGAGTTCCACTTAGGTCCTGTTTTATCTGAGAAGCCATCCCCGAACTGCCAGATAATTCAGATGTATAACTTCTTGCTTCCATGGCCACTTAGTGTATGTTTGCTCTCATTCATCTTCGATATTGAAGGGATCAGCTAATGCATTGTCTTCTATAAAATAAAATTTAGCAAAGTAAGCATTTCTTCTTTATTATTCTATTTGTGAGCATATAAAAACTCAATAAGTGTTTTATCTGTTAAATGATATGTAATACTTATAAAAGATGGAAGGATTGTCATATCTCTGTCTACCTACCTATCTGTCTGTCTACTGTCTATCCATCCCTCTCTCTCTCTGTCACTCTATCTATCCATCCACCCATCCACCCATCTATATCTTATCTGTATCTCCATCTTTAATTCACAAGCACATCCTTTTAAGATGTCTAACATCTGGAGGTATGTGTCGGTAGTGATGGACGAGAGAGCGTTTTAGTTCCCTTACAGGGGTTCCCAATTGTCTTTCCAACATGAGACAGGCCCAAAAGATCAAGCCCTAGTTTTTAAATGAAGAGAAACATGGGTCAGAGGTACCATAGAATGAGGTGCTTTGGTGATGTTTCATCTTCACCTGACTTCCTTTAGGCCCTTAGCTGAATCAAGACCAAGACACTAATCATAGGTACAGGGAGATACTGGAACGGTGCAGGGAGGGTTCTTCATGTCAGACTTCAGTTCTGAGTGGTTCTTTAAATTAGAGGACTGTCCCGCGCTCGGCCTCGCCAGCAAGAACGACGCCGGGCACTTAGGATCCTTCTGCAGTAAAGCTTTAATGCGTCTTGAGAGGAAGAGCATCAGCTTCCAAAGCAGAGACCCAGAATGAGGGGAACCCAGCCCTTATAAAGGAAACAGTCCTCGCTTCTGACGTGTCACTCTTGGATTGGTCCGCTGCCCATTATCCCAGATGATGCCTCGGAAGTAGGCAGGGACGCAGCAGTAGAGAGTTACCAAGCACGTGCGCTGGGATTAAAGGCGTGTGCTACATCACCTTGAACTCAGAGATCTGCCTGTCTCTGCCTCCCAGGCATTGGGACCAAAGGCGTGTACTACCACACCTTGAGGTCACAGAGGTCAATCTGCCTCTGCCTCCGAGGCATCAGGACTAAAGGCGTGTACCGCCACACCTTGAGGTCACAGAGGTCAATCTCTACATTTGTTCCTTGAAGCAATGGAGAATGTGGTTGCGGCCCTCCACAGAGGACCATGGTCCATGGAGGCCTTTGGCTGCCTGTTTCAAGACCACAGTCCTATGTCCTAAGGTATGGAACGTTCCTGGACTCCAGTTGTCCATAAATGGGAAGACGTGGAGAGAGTGACTTTTCAGAGCTTTTCTGCAATTCTGGGTTCTATCGGCAGATCAGCTGGGAATTCCAGCACCTATTCTGCAAGCAGAAAGCCACCCTCTTGTCCTCTTTTCATACATTCCCATTTCTAGTTACCTTTTAAAATTTTTATCTATCTATCTATCTATCTATCTATCTATCTATCTATCTATTTATCTATCTATCTATTTCAGTGTGTATTGTTTTTGCCTGCATAAGGGTTTGTGGCACCCTCGATCTGTAGTTACAGACAGTTGTGAGCTGCCATGTGAGTATTGAAAATTGAACCTGGGTCCTCTGTGAAAACAGCCAGTGCTCTTAACCACTGAGTCATCTCTCCAGCCCCTCTAGATTTTTTCATTATCTTAGCAATTTCTGTCATTTGAAAGGAGAGACTTGTTAGCATTTCTTTTAAAAATAATTTGTTTTGCCAGGTGTGGTTGCACATGCTTTTAACCCCAGTCCTTAGGCCATAGTAGCAGGCAGATCTCTGTGAGTTTGAAGCCAGTCTGGTCTACAGACTGAGTTCAGCCAGGGTTATAGAGAGACCTTGTCTCAAAAGCAAAAATAAAAACAAAATTATTTGTGTATGTGCCCAAAGTGGTGGAGTCCTCTGGAGCTGGGGTTACAGTAGGTAGTGGGATGTGAAGATGCCAGAAACTGAACTCAGGTCTTTGGGGAGAGCAGGAAGCACACGTCAATGCTAAGCTATCTCTCTAGCCTCACCTGTCAGCAGCGCTAAGGCAAACGGGAAATTTTCATTTTTTCTGTCAATGATGTGGACTAATGGTGTGAGATTAGGTTCTCAAACTCAGTCCTCCTGCACCATCCACCCAATTGTTTGTTAAGATTTGTCCAAGGCGCCGGGTGGTGGTGGTGTATGCCTTTAATCCCAGCACTCGGGAGGCAGAGGCAGGCGGGTCTTTGTGAGTTCGAGGCCAGCCTGGTCTATAAGAGCTAGTTCCAAAGCCACAGAGAAACCCTGTCTCAACAAACAAAACAAAACAAAACAAACAAACAAACAAACAAAATTGTCCAAGGCTTAATAGGAAGGCTGAACTGAGAGTCATAGCCCTATGGCGTAAGGTATTAGAACTACTGAGGGGGGCTGGAGAGATGGTTCCGTGGTTAAGAGCACAGTCTACTCTTTCAGAAGACCAGGGTTCAGTTCCCAGCACTCACTTGGCAATTTGCAACTAGTTTTCAGGAGATCTGCACTGCACATGTGAAAAAAAATACACATAAAATAAATAAAATCTTTTTTTTAAGCGAAGTATTAAAGATTTTTTTCTTTTTCTTTTGTCCTCCTGAACTCTCTGGATAGGTGGATTAGCACACTTGGATCTGTTGTTCTCTGCTAGGCATGGAGCCAGCTTTCCTCGGTAGAACTTTTTCCAGTTCTGGAACACGAGAAAATTAGTTTAATTAGCTATCCAAGATTCCCGTTACCATTCTCTCTATTTCTGGACGGTAGGAATGGAGTATAAAACACAAAATCAGAGTTGGAACGAGACAGGCACACACACCTGCGACAAGTCAAAATGGGAAACAGAGACAGGACGGCATGAAAAGATTGCATGGGTTGGATTTAGGAAGGAGGGTTCCCCAGACTCGCCCGGAAAGGGAGGGATCCCTAAATATCAAAGCCCAGTTAACTTTGACAGGATGTAGTTCGGGGAGTAGGGTCGCCCGCTCACGCTCTCAAAACGGACCCCGCCCACTTTCCAGCAAATCACAGCCTTCCTCCCGGGGATGCCCAGCAGCCACTGGTAAACAGCGCGCTGCAACCGAACTCTACCTAACCCCAGCCCTCTAACCGCCCAACACAATTTCTCAGTTTTTATTGGCTTCTATAACCGTCAGTCAGAGCAACCGCGTATCTGTTGGCTGTCCCCGACCTACTCTCTGTTCCCTTGTAATCTGGGCTGGTCTCGTTGGGTACTGCCCGCCTCCCGGAGCTAATTCCTTTCCTTGGATTGGATAGCTGGAATGCCACTTCCCAGGGTGCCACACTCTGATTGGCCGAGCGCGACCGGACTCTCAGTTACCAGGCAGCGGGCTAGACTGAGGTTAGTTACCACGTCAGTGAGCTGACAGGGAAGGTAGCCGGCTCCGCCGACCGTCCCGGCCCAGTTCTCCCGGTCATCTGTAAGCTTTCACCCTGAAGTTAGGATCGACTTCCAGAAAACAGGCTCCGTCCCGTGTCTCGGTCGCCACTAGCGCCGGGAAAGCGGCTGGGAGACGCCTCCGGGGCCAGGCTGGACATGAGCCGCGGCTGCCGGTACTGGGACTAGGCCCCGCCATTTTGGATCCGCTGACAGGTCAGCGAAGTCTCTTCTTAGAGTTCCAGCGTCGCGAAGGCCGCCTGACGTTGCCAGGAAGGAAGGAGGAGGAAGGGTCCTTCGGTTGGGCGGAGCGGGCTGGGGTAGGGCTTAGGGGGAGAAAATAAACCCCAAAGATTGATGTGGGAGAGAGTTGGGAGGTGTGCAGGGGCCAAAGGTCAAGCCCTTGGCTCCGAGGGGTGTTTTCAGCTCTAAGAGACTCTGGGGATGCCAGAGTCATTTCTGGTTTGCTAGGCTTAGTCTAGCTTTCAACTCCTCTTCTTCAGGGCTTCCTGCACTCTTATAGAATGCAGTCCTCAAAAACTGAAAGCACAGCTAAGGATGGGTTTTTCAGGGTTTAGACAAGGAATCTTCCCAGGTCCTGTGAGCTGTCACTTTTGGGTGATTCTGTCCTGATACAACTGAAGTGCTTCATTAAGGTGCAGGCGGGATTAGGCAATTAGAAGGCGTGGAGGATGGAGGCCAGCAGCCTGGTGAACTGCCTGTAAGACAAGGTTTTCCTTCTACAGGACAGCTCAGCTGTCACCGTGGGTCTGTATGTAAACACTTGGTTTTCTTTGAGAAAGGGTCTCTGGCTGTCCTGTAGATCTGTAGACCAGGCTGGCCTTGAACTCACAAAGATCCACCTGCCTCTGCCTCCCCGGTGCTGGGATTAAAGGCATGCGCCACCACCACCAACTGTCAACACTTTTCTTTTGGTGTGTGTTTTGAGTAGGCATTTTCCCACTATGATTTTTTTCCATTTACCCCAAGGACATGAAATTTAGTCACAAAGAAGCCACTCTTTTGTGATACATTCGGTTGGGCGCTAAGGGGGATTTGAATACAGATTAAGTTCGGTACTGGTGGTCTATTTATTTTTAGTAGGTGAAAAAGCGTGAAGAGGACTGGAGATGTAGGTCAGTTGGCTGAGGGCTTACCTTGCATGTATGAAGTCTTGAGTTCCATCCCTAGCTCTTCATAAGCTTGGGCACCTGGGCACACCTGTAATTCCAGTACTTGGGAGGTGGAAACAAAGGGTCAGGCATTCAAGGTCATCCTCTGGACTCTTGAGTTAGAGTTCAGCCTGGGCTAAGTGAGACACTGTCTCAAACAAACAGACAAGTCGTGAGAGATGATCTACTTGTGGTAGAGTCAAGGAAGCAGAGTGGATGATGGGGCTCAACCCCAAAGAGTGTCGTTTATGGCCCAGTAATGACCTTTGACATTGCTGTGTTATAAAGCAGTGGCAGTTCATCAGAGGCAAAGAGGACTTTAGTTTTTTAGCGTAGTAAATCAAGAATATCAGGCACTAACATAGGCCTTGTGGAGGATATACATGGAAAAATCTGCCATGGTCTTACAGTAATGGGGATGGGACTGTTGGGTCCTACGTATGGTAGCCAAGCAGTCTACCATTGAGTCATAGCCACAGCTTGCTTTAATTGTTTATTTTTGAGATGTGGTCCCTCCAAGTTGTCCTAGCTGGCCTGGAAACTTGCTCTGTAGCCCTTGAACTTGTGATCTTTCCTGAGCTGCTGGATTTACAGGCCTGCACCACTAGGTCTGGCTCTATACTTCTGGAAAGTAGTGACTTATGCGAGGTGTAGTGACAGTCTCAGTACTTTCTAGGTTGAGGAAGAGCATTTTGAGTTTAAGATTAGCCTGGTCTACAAAGTGAGATTCTGTCTCAAAACAAAACAGTCTTCCTAATTCCTTTCAGCAAATATTGGACCCCACAAAATATCATGCATCCCTGGGATTAGTTTAGTATGTGGTTAGGCTTTGTGGCTTGGCCTGGTCCTGCCAGTCAGTTCTTTTCCTTGGTAAGTAGAAACAAGGTGGAGGACTGGGGATTAGAAGGCAAATTATCTAGGATGATATAATCCTTGAACCAGGTTTCTCATACCTCCTAAAAATGGGTATATTTTTGCCTCCTAAAAATGGGTATGTTAGAGTGTGTATACATGTGTGTTAGGAAGAGAAGGAATCATGTTTCTGATTCATATAAATTTAAAGCAAATGGGGTGGGAATGGTACAGGACACTGCTTTCTATGAGAGTCAGACACTTCCAATAAAGAATGCATCTCAGTGATAAAGCATTTATTTTCCTAGCATGTGAGAGAGAGGCCCTGGGTTTGATTTTTCAGTGCTGGGGGCAGGATATAATTTTCTATGTAGGAATAATTCCACTAACATAAATTTTCTTTAAGGTTGTTCTCAAAGTTCAAACTTCTTTTTAGTAGTGGTCTGCTGTAGGCAAGCTATATGTTATGCTGCAGTCTTTTTTTTTTTAATTTTTTGAGACAGGGTTTCTCTGTGTAGCTTTGGCTGTCCTGGAACTTGCTCAGTAGGCCATGTTGACTTCTAACTCAGAGATTTGCTGGCCTCTGCTTCCCAAATGCTGGGATTAAAGGTGTGCACAACCACTGTCTGGCATATATTCCAATCTTTTTTTTTTTTTTTTTCCTAGACAGGGTTTCTCTGTGTACTCCTGGTTGTCCTGGAACTTGCTCTGTTTACCAGGCTGGCCTTGAACTCAGAGATCCACATGCCTCCGCCTCCCAAATGCTGGGATTAAAGGTGTGCACCATCATCGCCCAGCTCATGTGTTCCAGTCTTAACAGTGATGCTCATTGACACAGTAGGAATTAAAGTTGTGGGCACATTTTCGTAGCTGCTGTCAGTTCCAGTTTCAGCTTACCTGATCATCTTTCACTCCCTGTGTTCCAGAGTCAGGATGACTGCTGCTTTAACGTTATAGCACTCACTGGTAGAGTGTCTCTTCTGCTCCAGTGGGCAGCTGGAGAGGAAGAAGATACAGCTCCTGCTTGGGAGGAGATACTATTTGTAAACCGTGTCTCTGGAAAGACAATTGACTGGTCACATTCCATCCCTGTTGGCTGGTTGTTGCTGATTAGAATGATTGGATGTCAGGTTCGTGGTGGGGTTGAGTGGAAGGGAGAAGGAGAGATCCATTTTACCTTCATGCTGAAAGAGCTATGAAATAAATGTAATAAGTTGTTGTTTCTCTATTTTTCGTTTCAGCTGCATTTGTTTAAAGGAAAATACAATAGAGTGTATGCTTCTTTGGAACTCCAGTGGTAGTGGAAATGATCATGGAAGTGATAATTTATCCCAGATAGTGAATGTGCTCAGAGCAGCAATAGTATAAATAATCGTGGAAGTGTAACGACAAATCTTTTTGTTGTTGTTTTGTTTTTGTTTTTTTGAGACAGGGTTTCTTTCTGTAGCCTTGGCTGTCCTGGAACTCACTCTGTAATCCAGGCTGGCCTCGAACTCATAGAGATCCACCTGCCTCTTCCTTCAAAGTCCTGGGATTAAAGACGTGTTCTACCACTGCCTGGTTGAGGACAAATCTTATAAACAAGGGTTATACATTTGAGTGCATGTCAGGCAGGGAATGTGAATGACGGAAGCAGTCAGGTGGAAAATGGATAGGAAGCAGCAGAGCTTGTACTGTGCAGGCCCCTAATTGAAGAAGGCAGCTGCCACTTCTGCAGGTGGCTACTGTTTGAAGACGTGAGCACAGCACGACTGGCTGTCCTGCCGCTCCCAGTACCCCGTCACTCACTGCTTTTCTTTGTTCCACTCTGCCACTGGTTACCCTTATACCTTGTGTGTTCTGAGTGGTTAGGATGAGGATAGAGAGGAGCGTTGTTTCATTTGCATCTCTCAGATGGGCAGTTTTGGACAGGTCGGTGGCTTTTCCCTACATATGGTTCTGGAGATAGTCTCAGAATCTCCACTGAAGGAGGAGATGGCACGCAGAGCCAAGGTACAACGTGCACCCGATTAGCAGGTTTGAGAGGATTTTCCAGCTGTGCCTGGTCAGATCAGAGTACCTGCTTTTTCCTGGTTCGACTTTCTCTAACTCCTATCCTTTTTTTTTTTTTAAATTCCCGAGACAAGGTTTCTCTGTAGCTTTGGAGCCTGTCCTGGAGCTAGCTCTTTTAGACCAGGCTAACCTCGAACTCACAGAGATCCACCTGCCTCTGCCTCCCGAGTGCTGGGGTTAAAGGCGTGCTTACCACTGCCCAGCGAACTCCTACTCTTTCTATAATTTCCTGTTCAGTAAGTTTTTTTGTGTGCCTCTTTCCTCCAAGCTCAGAAGTGTTTTGTTTGCATGCATGTGTGTGTATGCCATGTGTGTACCTGGTACAGGTAGAAGTTAGAGTTGGATCCCCTGAAACTGGAGTTACAAATGATTGTGAACCACAGTGTGGGTGGCGGGAACTAAACCCAGGTCCTCTGTAAGAGCAGCAAGTGCCCTTAACCACTAAGTCATCTCTCCACGCCCCCCCTCTTTTGTTTTTTTTGAGAGAGAGAGGGTCTCACTGTGCAACCCAACCAGATGTGAGCTTATGATCTCCCTTTCTTGGCCTCCCATTGCTGGTACTACAAGTACACATCGCTGTTCAGCTGAGATGTGTTTAAAAAAGAGCTGTGTACACAGTGTTATGGACTGACAAAACAAATGTACTCATACATACTATCTAGGAGAATGAGTTAGTTGAAGAAGACTTCATGAGTAAACGCCATCATAAAAACAGAATGTTTAGTTGATGTTGACAACATTCAGTGCCATGCTGGGTGCCTCACAACAAACCCAAGAGAAGATGACTTCACTGTGCAATGGAGAACTTTGCTTTTGAATAAGGTCGCAATGTATAGCCCAGGCTAGTCCTGAACACTTGCTCCTTCTGTTGATTACCATATATAGCTACTGTGGGAAACTATAAACAAAGGCTCAGGAAGATTAGGAAACTTGCTTTAGGGTTATAATTTGTGATACAATGCTCATCTAGCTTGCATGTAGCCCTGGGTTCAATTTCTAACACTGTGGGTAAGAGGGAAAAAGAAAGAAAAAAGAAAAGTCTTGGCTAGAGTCATTTAGGTATTAGCAGTCAGGACTGGAATTTGGGTCTGTCTTGACTCTGAAGACTCTTCTCTTTTTAATGCTTTATTTATTTATTTA